TATATACTATATATATATATATATACTATACTATACATGGATTATATTAATATGTTATTTATATAGCGCCGAGAATAGAAGATACAGAGAAGAGAATGTGTGTTCGTGCGTTGCGTCGTTGCGTGCGTGCGTGCGGAGAGAATATGCCGAGCGAGCGAGAGATAGAGAGAGTGGCGCCGCGTGTGTGTGAGAGAGAAGGGGGAGAGGGGAGGCGTGAGCGGCGAAAGCGAGTGCAGTAACTTTATTATGAAGGAAAGGAATATTCCAGCCTGACGGTGTGTGTGCCCGATACGCTGCGTTTTGTCTTGCTCGTGTGTACTGCGCATGGGCCCTGTGCCACATCTCGTCCTGCATTATTCCCTCTCGTCCCCTCTTCCTTTTTTTCCGCTTTCCTTCCTCCTCCCCTCTTACTCCCTCCCAACAGTATTTCCCTCCCCTTCGGATGTATCTCGCCACGGCACCTTATTGCCACGGCTGAAAAGTCTGCCAGGCAAATGGCCGGTTTTCAGCGTTCAACTTTTCACCCCCAAAGCACAAACATTTATTACGGCTATAATACGCGTTTTGACCAGTCACACATAACACTACATACACCACGCGACCGGGCCGCACACACGCGAAGTATGGTACTCGCACGCCAGCGCGTTTGCGCGTGATATTTAGGCGATAAATTCACATGTTGTGCCTCGGGGGTGAAAAAGTTTCGCTGAAATTCCGTCCCATTGACCTGCAAATGTTTTTCCATGTTCCCCCCCCTGACTGTCGTGGGGATACCTATCGCGAAGCAGGGAGTAAGGAAGTGAGCCAAGAGCGAAACACGCGAAAAGGCAGTATTAATATATAATATATATATAATTATATATACATTATATTATAATGTTAATATATTATATATTATAATATATATATTTATCAGCTTATATATATCATAGATATAATAATACCTCATTATTATACATATGTGTCATTATATATAGCGCCGAGAAGATAAGAAACATTGCCGAGACGAGATACAAGAGAGAGTGAGAGAGAGTGTGTGTGTGTATGATGTGTGTGCGTTGCGTGCGTGCGTCCGTGCGGTGCGTCCGTGCGTGAAGAGAAATGTTATGCGAGCGAAAGAGACAAAGAGCAGCAGAGAGAGAGGAGAGACGAGAGAGAGAGCAGAGAGAGAGAGAGAGAAAGTAGTGTGTGGTGAGAGAAGAGAGAGAGAGAGAGAGAGAGAGAGAGAGAGAGAGAGTGTGTGGAGAAGGAGAGAGATATATATATACTGGAGGAGTGGAGAGGAAGAGTGTGCTGTATGTATGTGAGCGTGGTGCGTGCGTGCGTGCGTGCGTTGCCGTGCGTGCGTGTGTGCGTACGTTGCGTCCGTGCGTGAAGAGAAAATATGTGCGAGCAGAAAGAGACAAAGAGAGAGAGAGAGAGAGAGAGAGAGCAGAGGAAGAGAGAGACGAGGAGAGAGAGAGTGAGAGAGAAAGAGAGAGAGAACGAGACGAGAGAAGAGAGAGAGAGAGACGAAAGAGAGAGAGAGAGAGTTGCGTGTGTGTGTGTCGTGTGTGTGGGTGTGTGTGTGTGTGTGTGTGTGTGCTGTGTGTGTGAGTGCTGTGTGTGTGTGTGAGAAAGAGAGACAAGAGAGAAAGCAGAGAGAAGAGAGAGAGAGAGAGAGAGTCACGGGGAGGGGGGGTGAGCGGCGAAGCGAGAGAAGTAACTATATTAGAAGGAAAAGAATATGTGGCATGCGTGCTGCTGTGGTGTGCCCGTACGTGCGTTTGTCTGCCCGTGTGTAGCTGCGCATGCGTGGCACATCTCCGTCTTGCATTATTCCCTCTCCCGATTCCTCTCTTACCTTCTCTCCTCCTTTTCTTCCCCCCTCTCTACTCCTTTCTCTACGTATTTCCCTCCCCCTTTTTCGCGCGATAGTATCGCCCACGCACCAGTTGTACGGTGAAAAGTCTGCCAGGCCAAATGGCCGGTTTCTTCACTGCCACTTTTTCACCCCAAAGCCACAAAAATATGATTATACGGCTAATATACGCGTTTTGACAGGTCACACAAGCACAC